AGACTTCGATCGCATTATTCACGTACATTTTGACTGAACTCTAATAACCACGCGTTTGGTTCATGCACTGATATTTAAATTCGAGCCACCCAGCTTGACGCAAATCAATATAGTTACTTGTCATTTGTTCGAAAAATTATTTAACTCTCACAAATACTATGGATGCAAAGAGTTAACTGGGGGTTAAATGAAAGGGAACGTCTTTCTTGGACAAAAAACACATCAGTACAAGATTATGTGTGCAAGGTTAGATTTATAGAAGGTACATGGCCGCTTAACTCTGTGTTTTTTACCGAATCCGGTATAATGAAAACGTAACACGAGGTCAATCGCCCGACCAATCAAAAATGTCAATTTATGCACCATAGGGCGGTTTACTTAAATGACGTAATAGAATAATGGCGGGCACATGATCGATGCAATCATGTGGACCAGCGACGAAAAAGCCCTGTACTAAGCTTTCCATCACGGAAATTCGTAATCGATGTGCTGACCGATGGATATTTATCGACTATGTAATAATCTTACCCAACATCTGTAGTGTCGTGGGGGAATGATTTTTTTCACGTCAACAGGACTCTGTGGTTTCGAACTTCGGGTAGAAAGCTTAATAGTGCTAGGAGTACTGCTTTAGCCAGTTGATATGGTGGTCCCGAACCCACTGCGGGTGCCATATTCCTTGGGTTTGTTTGTCCAATAGATGCGCTTCCCACCCTAGGAGGGAGGAGTCTGTTACCAGATTCATAGCTGTGACGAGTTGGTCCAAAAGGACCTCCCGTTCGAGGTTGGTCAGCAACGACCACCAGGACAGGGTTTCCTTCGCTTGGTCTGGGATCAGTACTCGCCTGTCTAGTTCCCTTAGGTGAGCTCGGTGTTCCAATAACAAGCATTGGACCGGGCGGCTGCGTAGTGCGGCCTGGGGAACTACCCTTCGAACAGCGATCATCATTTTGATAAACCGCATTAGTTCTCTGAGGGACACTGAAGGAATGCTGACTTGGCATTCTGCTAGGCTGCTTAGCGCTAGTCAATGCACTTGAGATGGGCGAACCAGGCTTACATCGGTGTCAAACTCCATGCCCAGAAACACCAACTGTTGAGTCGGGTTGGGATGGGACTTTTTCTGATTTACTAGAAAACCCAACTGGTTGTAAATCCTGTGTTAGCCTTACTTGTCTGGCTAATAACCCCTTGTCTGGTCTACGTACGGATTGATGTGTATCGACATTTGGTGGAGCAGCAGCACTACCAGTTTCATCACTCCGGTGAACACGTAGGGTGCTGTGTATAACCTGAAGGGGAGCACCCAAGTGGGCGAATCAAAGGAGGTGGCAACTCGCTGGGTGAATCGCTATGTGGAGGTATGCATCGCTTAAGTCTAAAGAGGCTAGCCAGTTGAACCGGTGGATGGAGAGTAGCACGCTGAAGAGTGTCTCCATGTGGAACCAATCGAGAAGCACATACTGATTTAGTATGCTTAGGTCCAGAACCGGACGCCAGCCGCCTGTAGCTTTTGGTACTACAAATACATTTGAGTAGAAGCCCGGACATAGTGCCAGCTGAACTATTCTGTGTACAGCACCCTTTCTCAGTAAACTGTCTACTTCCTGTCTGATTGCTTCCACCTTCGGGGGATCCCCTGGCAGTGTCCCCACCCTGGCAGTGTCCCGAACAGGGGGAACACTGAAACATAGTTAAACTCGGGTGACCTTGCCCTTTGTTACATAATATAATTCCCTTTATCAGTTTGTTTCAATATAAATATGCATTGTCATAATTAATTTTGAATACAAACAAGTTTTGGGGTGTCAGTCTACCGAATGTCCTTAAAAGATGTAAATATCTTACAAAAACATTGGTGCCTTATTTAATTAATTATTTTAAAGGACATAATTTCCAGTTTTATTCAAAATCTTTCCCTCAATATACCTTTCCCTTCCATCTTTGATGGTACAGGCAAGGTAAAAATGAGCGCCGGTTTACCCCGGTTAAATGCCTGTGTTGGCGGGGACCAACGGTGGCCAAGGAGCTTATCACTAATGAAAGAAATTTTTTTAACAACGGCAAAATATATATCATAAACGCCGCTACAACGCCAGTTGGACCAGCTAAATAATATTCACAACAAGCACAATGGCATAATTTATATGATACGACTGTGACAACGGTCGACAACGAAATATTCTGTACAATTACATAATACGGCGTGTTCAGTTGGGAGTGCTGTCATTTTAAACTGAGTACAATATTAACAACAATGGCCTGATATAGTATGGAGCTGTATGTTATTTTATTTTTTTTCAATCGTGGAACTTAAACTCAGCACTTGGAAGTTCTGCAGAACGTTGCCCAACACATTATTGTTATTATTGTTATTTTTGGACTTTACTCAAGATTTCATTGGTACGTTCCAAATAAAAATTCTATCTTCTATCTTGACATATCTTGCCTTGACTAGAGGTATATATTAAATATTAATAATATATTATATATGCAGGCACTAGACAGTGAAAACATCGCAACGAATGTAGTAACTCGTTGATAAAAGTGGTAATCCTTTTCTGGGACTTGTAGAAAGTCTGTCGTTTTTTGTCTTTAGAAAGGTGAGAACATTTGAACAATAGGATTATAATCATGAACAATGAGAACAATGACTAAATGCATGACCACAGCCAAATCGCTGTTTAATTGAAGTAAAAAAAATCAAAGAAAACAGAGAAGGAAGAGAAACACGAGCGATGTAGTCGAACGACAGGCATTACGGCAGCCATGTTTGTTTCACCACGATCAATAGAATATTACCCAATATGCACTATTCCCATTAGTGTGGGTATGTGGAAGTTCATAGCCAAGCGTACTACGTTCAAGAACAAGGTAAGAAATTACGTGACGAAACCATCCCGATTTGCCGTCGATTTCCGGGTTCGGGTGCGTTTCATACAAGAAGATCGATATGCACTACACCGCTGAGTGTAGTAGACATAATCCCGATGGCACAATGGGACGTTCAAAAGAAGTTAATACAGTTGATTTATAACAGACGAAGTAAATGGAAATCACTTCAGTCAAGAACACAAATGTAGTTAAATGAGTTAGTAAACAAGAGACGATGGCAACTCCACGTTTTGGCAGATATGACGCAGCGTGAAAATGGCAATTTAAACTTTGCTTGCAGATTTTCCCGGGGCAGATTTACATAATATTACAGTTCGATAACACGGCCAGTCATGCAAAATCCATCAAACGGAAACTGCAAGTCGTATAATGTCAAAACAGAACTATGATTTCACAACTTTCGAAATAAGTTTGCTTTTATTGATGTCCACTGTACACCAGTAAATGCCTTCCCGTTCGCAAGAACACAAAGTCTAAACTATCAGAAATTCGTAAAACATAATTCGAGTGATGGTATAACAAAATAACTCATCATTTGTAAATTCAATCTATCGGAAAAATATAAAAAACATTTTCATAAACAATTTTATTATACAAATACGCTTTGAAAAGAAACAAGATTCATAAACATAAATCTATTTGAATATATTCTCACTACAAATTACACAATACTTTGTGTAATTCTAATGGAGTTTCTTCACAGCACAAACAATTGGAATCCATGCACACATGTGAGTACTTCGGTGACACATTTTATAGTTACGCTCAAAATAGTCCATCATTTATTGCACAACTGTGACCAAACGACAACATTCTGTTAACATCCACACATTTTCATAAAATCTCCATGCACTTACTCCAGAAAAACAATTTTCTTGGTACATTCCTACATTCTTGCATACTAATGAGGGGTTCAGACACATTCCAAGCTGAACAATTTTCTTGGACTAATAACAAAGCTGGTCAATCCTTTCCCAGCAATAAGTATACATATTTGTAAACAACTTGTCTCAGCTATCGGCTTTCCCAGGGCTTGTATCCACTATTTTCACATGCATGACAAGTTCATATTTTTATGCTGTTTACACATGTATGCTCATACCAACAAACATGTATTGAGTATCAAAATGATCAGGCAGGTAGTTTTTAAAAAGAAATTAGGTCCATTCAAGTAATTTAATTATAGCAAAAATGCAGCCACTATGTACAACAGAAAATCACCTATATTTTATGAACAGCTTGAGTGCTAAAAAGTTAAGTTCTTACCAGATATATAAAGTTGGTCCAAGTTGTTCTTCTAAACTGGTATCACACTGGCAACTTCTGTCGGCAGAATAAACTAATCCCAGTTGGTGTCAATACAATACCCAATATTAAAGTGACCACAGTGATCTCTTCATCACTAAGGTAAAAGGAAAACAGTGACCTCATTATCAGTAAGATAACAGGTAAACTGAGATAACATTATTAGATGATATATTAAGTATTGTTCACAGAGTTATCAATTGGGCCAATGTCTCTGTAATGTTGTCAAGATTTAATTGAAACATTCAACATGTGTGAAAAGAAAATTAATTTGTAAGTCAATTTCAGTGTAGGTGTGTATGTAATTTTCTGATCCTAAATAACAAACACAATACAGGCATTAAGAATGCACACTGTTCGGTATCCCTGGTTGTCCATTTCTATGATCAGTATAAGTACATTTACAGTATGGTTCAAATGTAACTTATCATTCGGCCTGCTTCAAGCTGGCTTAACTTTTTCACCCCAGTTCCCTTCATTTTATTAAAAATTCACAAAATAGTCCCGTTTATAGTCTGCACTTTCCTTCAGAAGATTGAAACAATAATAACCAATTTTTTTAGTAAAAACTGAAAATTGACTCAAATGTCTGTTGGCTTCAGAATAAGGATTGATTTTCAGAAATATTGAAGAATATAGGAAATCAAAGAAAGCTTAGAAAGAACTCCCGTGTGCTGAGAGTTTTGGAGACACATTAAAAATTAATTAAAAATTACTTATACTTATGCAAATTTAATTATAATATATATAATTATAATTATGCAAATAAGGTAACTAATATGAACAGATTTAAGTGTAAAACTAATACGGTATGCACAAGTTTCATTGAAATGTGATTAGAACCAAAAAATATTAGTTATTATGCTAATTAGAGAATTAATATGAACAGATTTTAACCCAAAATCAATCAGGCTGTCTATTGTCCTAGAGCATTTATGTACCAAGTTGTATTCAAATGTGATGATCAATACTGGAGATATCAGTATTAATTACTGGGTACTCTTTAAAAGTTTCATTGAAATCCAATGAGTGGTTTTTAGACATCAGTGCAACAGCCATAGAACAGCAAAAAA